ACGAGGCTCTCCAAGATATTCTCAGTGCACTTCAGCTAAAAATAGTCTTAAATGTATCCCACTCAAAAAATACGTCAGTTGTTTGTGAGGGTTTTCAAACCTGTCTGCATCACAAAGAGACAGTAACACCATCTTTACATCATTAATGCTATTTCTAACTTACAACTCTGAAAAAAACCCCAAATGGCAAYATAACAAGAACTGGTTTCCCCTGCCAGTAAGGCTATAGTGCAATGTCTGTAGACATAATGACTTGCAGATCTTTTAATCTTTTTCATGAATTAGATAGACATGCTCTAATATTTCATCCCACCAATGCAAAACACATCTGCACTAACACCCTTCCATATAGAGGTCACCTTTAATGGATTAGGGAAAGCTCTGGCCCTTTCACACACATTGAATTAATTTCAGATTGTTGATGGGAGCATGTCTTACACTAAGTCTGACCTATCACCAATCGAATGCATTGAAATCTTGTTGATTATTTTATCCTTTGTAGTTTGACTTTAGCTGGGAAATAGAAAAACAGATGGACAATACCACATTCACCAAATAAACATTAAAATACTAACAGGTGATTCATCACACAAACTCAAATCATGCAGACAAAGAAGAAAAAAAAAAGAAAGATGATAAAAGGTCTGTGCAATGAGGCAGAGCCCAGACTAACTCAGGCAACGTTTACCTTTTTGGTCAGGTATCAGGACCTGATACCTGTCTTTTTTTAAAAACAACAGAGGCTTGAAGCAGTAAAGGGAGACTGCTGGGGTGAAACAGCGTGCTATTCCTAGAACCATCTGCTTTTTCTTCTTCTTTTTTTTTTTAATTTTGTGGAATTCAGCTATTCTTTGTTTTACAGAAATAAAAGATCAGTTTTGAAAATATTCATGAACAATGCTGTAGAAATTGCCTGTAATTTCCTCCATTTTCAGCCATCTGGTTTTCATTGTTTCCCTTCTCTGTTCTCTACTCCATACATGTTTACCAAATCTTTTCAGCACACATTGACCAAATTATTGAGCAGTTATAATTAATGACACAGCTACAACATTCTCTTTCACCCCTTTGGTAGAGCTTGTTGGCTCACCATGAGGTGCTCATGCTGCTGCTCTTATAAACAAGAGCAATTATATCTGAATAGATGATGATGCCTCTGTAATTTGGGCTGTGGAGGCTGAGGAAAAGACACTACTTGGATGTGAGTAATTTTGTTGTTGAAAACAGCAATGCCAACATTGAAACATTGGTTCTTCCAATTGTTTTTTTTCTTGTAATTTAGAATACAAACAGCAATTAGCAAAACTTTGTGATCTTCCATTCTTTTTTTTTTTTTTTTTTTCACTTGGGGAAGAAACTTCTAGACATTGAACAGCTACTCTGAGTTAACTTCTGGAAGACCATGCTCTGTGCAATTATTGATACGTAATTCAACTGATAGAGCTTGACTGACACAAATTAAGGAACTGAATGACTGAATTAAAATGGCCATAGTCTTCATTCCTCTCTTTCCTGTGGAAAGCGTCCTGACTCTCCTAGTACATCAAAACAAACTATACCTTTTCTTTTTAGAARTATTAACAAGTGCATACCAAGTTAATGCTAACAGATTTTACTCTGTAACTATTGTGTTGAAAGTCAGTTATTAGCTCCCAGCTGAGAAATCACCTTTGCAGTGTTTCCCATTTTTTCACATCCACTTCAAAATGGGAAATTTTTTTACATTGTTTTCCAGGAGAAAAGGGTCTGGACTCTTTTTCTGTTATTGTTCTTGAAGCAATAAGCAAAGAACTCTCAACAAAATCTGAAACCCCAGGAGACTCAGTTGGGATTCGAATGTGGAGGAAAGCTTCCAATTTTTTTGTGTGCAGCTCTTCCTGATTCTTATTTTTTCTTCTGTAAGAATTTTGAGCATGAGATTTTTCTGACTCCATACAGCTGTGAATATCTGAAGACAGATTTCTGTGGTTTAGTTTTTGTCTCCTTCCATGTACTCAGAACAGTAATGTGCTAAGATATTAAGCCAGAATTTCAAAGAAAATTACAAAGCATTCTCAGCTGCTGTACAAGCASCATCACCTTTCAGTGTTTTCATAAATGTGATGCATTGCCAGTATGTTCTAGCTTTTACCATATTCTGTTCCAAGACAGACCAGAGCAATAAGCGATTGAAAAGGCTGATGCTACCAYATTTAAAGATAAAGTATTAAGTGAGTAATGAAGTTTTCTAGTCTATCCACATCTATTTTCARTAAGGAGCAAAATGAACAATAACAATGCAGATCCCTTTAGTATTATTCTTCTGAAGTGTCAAAAAAAATAAAAAAAAGGATGGATCAAAATCAGAATGAAATTACTCTTCACTGACTACTTCCCCAATAACTTTCTTGAGCTGCATGCCTTCTGATCCTCCAGAAAGGCCGAAGGGATCCTGTAGTTCATTGCTTTTGTCTATCTATCTATTTTTAGTAAAATAGCTATAACATTTATTTACAGCTTGCACAACTAACCTTTTGAGGGGCTACACTGTCAGCTCACTCATAACCAAAAATGCCTGCAGCATAAGCAACATTAATCTTTAAGTTCTAATATTTAAACTTTCTCCCACTTAAGCTAAGCAAGATCTTTATCTGTACCAAATTTTAGAGACAAGCATTAAATTCTGAGCATGCTGGCTGTTTAGATTCAAGAAATGTCACTGGAATAATTTCTCCAAATATATTAGGAGAGAATTTTGGTTCTCTTGGGGAAGACTTCTTAGCCTTTTCTTCATGCTGTGGACCATATTTCCTTGCCTACCAAGACATTCATTGCCATCTCGGTTGCCGTTTCAGTGGAATGCCTCTTCTACCCACAACAATTGCWTGCTCCAGCAGTCACTTATCCATCAGGAATATTTTAGGAAAGTAGTTTTTATAATTTTAGCTTCTGTTAACACACTTAAGCAGCTGGAAAATAGAGAGAAGAGCCAACACTATGAGGCCAGCCAGCTCTCTCTATAAGTCATCAGCAAAAGCTCTGGGAAGTATCAATGATTCACAGATTTTGGAAACTCCTGTAAAAGAGATTTAAGTTCACAGCCACAGTGTATTATAATTTTTGGACTAGTCAGTGAGTAGAAATGCCTTCATCAGCATTCATAAGGACATGATTTTAGTCTRCATTTCCATCAGACTCCCAGATCAAAATTTATTGAATTAGAATCCTGAAGTATTTTATGATTTAAACAAGGAAAAAATCCCAATTTAAAGAAATAATCCACTTCCCCCACCTTTTTTTCCCCAAGTATCAAGCTGCTCTAAATAATAATTATAAAGCAAAAATCKTTATACACTAATACTATCTGTTTCATTAATATACCATTGTATTTAATACAGTGACATTGGTTGGTGTAGCACTTCAGAAACCTGAAGGAAATAAAGTAGTTACCCCGTCACAGCCTGCCTGGGAGACACATCAGCCTGCCTCATTGCCTCTCTTTCCATCAGCCACACCACCTGCAGTCTGCAGGCCCACTTGCTCTGATCAGAGGAACCATTTTGCAGAATACGTGCTACTCTTCATCCTGTGTCACTTAAATCTCTGCAGACAGGCAATTTCCTCCAGACTGAGGGGGTCTTGAGGAGAGAAGCTGGATATATGGAGGGGARAGTCATTTCCCCTCTTCTCAGCTGCAGCTGTAGGGGTGGATTGGAGCTGCTCAGTCTTCCCCCTATGCATCAATCCCCTTTCACCTCTGCTACACAGGTGTATTCTCACCTATGGTATGATCATCTCGTAATTCATGGAGTGAAATGCATACCTATGGTGGCTTTAAACTAGCTCCACTCTGATAGCAAGGTGACCACAGTGCCACAGATAATCACACAGATTAACTCAAGAAGCATTTATGCAATTACTCAGGTTACTTTTGTAACAAAAGCCACATAAATACTAGCCTACATAAATGTATTTTGCTTTTTTTTAACCAATAGCCAAACTTATTTTCCATGTCAGAAATGTTCTACCATGCACTCTCAGGTCCAGTGATGCTTCTACCTATTAATTGCCACAAGAGTTCCACCTACAAAATTATTTTTGAACGTTTCTGTGATATTTGTATGTTGTTTCCAGCAATAAAGACAATTTTAAAACAGGGTTTCAGTGTCCTCATGACCAATACTTGTAATTCTTTGGTATTTCTAATTTCAACCTATTTATCTCTGCTTGCCACAAATTCAAACTCCTGATTACCAACCAWACCCTTACTTCTGTCCTCATTGTTATTGCATGCAGGCCATATTTGATGCCATCTTTGATTTTTAGTGTGAACCTTCTCTGCATATCCCAAATCAACTATTCCTCATAACAACTTAATTCTCCCTAGCCTGTTGTCCTATAAAACACACATCCACCTGCCAACACACACTCTAAGGTATATGTCCAACCTGAACAGCACTGAGTGTTTTAAATAGTCCAGAATTATACATCAATGTATTTAAAATCTGCTGCACAATGGAGTAAATGCACCTGTGTACAAGCAGGGAAAAGACAATAAGTATACACTACATCTTGAAGATTGACCGACCCTATTTATATAAACCACAAGAATGTCATAATAGCTATTTTCTGTTGTCGAGGCTGAAGATGTGAATCTCTGCAGACAAAGATCTAGTGTTCTTAGAGTCATGATTGTGGAAAATGMCAGAGGACAGAGATGAAGAGATTCCACAAAACCTTTTCTGAGAGGGGAGGCTAGAGAAGATCTTTAAACGTGAGAAAACTCTGGGTAAAGTTGATCTAATCCACAGACAGTCTGCTTGAAGGACTTGAGGACTTGAAGAGGCAAGCATTCTGAGGTTTGCCCTTTGGTCTGACTGCTCCTTTTTGCTTCCTCGTCAATATGATGGTGGCAGGAAGAGGTTGTAAACCCCTGCAGTCTGAGAAAGGCATGCTTGAGGCAATGTGTGTCTCCAGACCGAAAGGCAATAGAGTTTGGGGTCACTTAAAATGATGCCTACCTTGGGGGGCAGGGGTCCAGGCTACAGGCTTTCAGCAGCTGCGGAGGGCGACGGCTGCTAACACACAGTGTCTCGTCTGCAGTCTCCCTAGTTTGTTTGTTCAGACAGGTCACCACAGCCTCCTGGACACCTGCACACAACAAATAATGGTCAYAGCCAGCTCTCTGTACCTGCAGGGGCAGCCACGCTCAGACATGGGCCCAAGAGGGCCAGCAGGGCTGCAGCCTATGGTGACACACAGCCTCGGGTTGGCAGCTCCGGGGGTGCAGCCCCAGCTATAGACTTGTCATTGCTTTCCTTTTCTCTGAAAGATTTCTCAGTTGCAGTGAACGGTCCATGAGTTTATTCACTGCTCACACCTCCCTGGACAGATCCCCGGACAGAAATTTGTCCAGGGCTCTCCAGGGACTCATTTTCTCCCCAATGAGGCACTTTATTTTTCAGTCCAAGCAGGCTAAGGTGTGAAGATGGTCATGGCTTTCCTATGCAGTATTTTAACCAATATGACTGCTACACATGCAAAAGCAAAGCAAAGCATTCAGCTGCTCTCAGTTACTCTTCTGCATCCACGGGCCTGTACRTAAACTAAAGATGTAAACATGCAGAGGGTATCTGAGAGCTGTGAAACAATGGGGTAGAGAGAGCTAGGAAAGAACAGGTTGCAGTTGGGACTAAGAGAAATTGGAAGATTTGGTTAGTATGTTTTGACTCAGAAATTCCTTGCTAATTCCAAATTCCTAATGTAGTCTATGGCATAGCAGTTACTCTGTCT